AATTTCCTCCTATTCCCTTGTGGATATGGACAGCTTCGGCTATGAGGAGACACTTTCTGCGGAGAGAAAAGAGAGCAACTAGTACTATTATCTGTCTAAAAGGTGGGTGACATCAAAAGGGAGAGTTCCAATACTGGAAAACTACTCAATATGGATGTAATCTGACTCTGGAAGTAACACCAAGGCAAACCCAGAGAGATCCAGCTTGGACTTGTAAAAATCAAAGTAGAGAGTGGATGAGTGGAATTACCCAGATGTGTGAAAATGCAACCAGGGGAGACCCAAGGTGCCATTGGATAGGGAAGGCCTTGTGGTACAGTGGTTGTGGCACAGAAGGGGAAAGCACTGATTATCTCTACTTTCTATGTAACAATACTAGGAGTCAGTATTTACAACCTGAATGGGAAGGGCTGTGTGAAGTATTATGGGAAGAACTTGTTCAGACTCATCAGCCTGTCCATTCCTTATCCCCTCCTGTTAGAAAGATGAGAACTACTGTTACTACAAAACAGACCACAACGAAGTTCGGACCCTGCCAAGAGTGCACAGAATGTATTAAAAAGACCAAGCAAGGGAATATAGTTACTAGTACCTTATTATATCACACTCTAAAACCAGAATGTAATGCTACTAAAGTGCAACCTTGTGTGTGTAATCAAACTCAATATTTTAGGTGTTATACAGCCCAAGGGATGCAGTGCTATGAACCAAAAGCAGTAGGTCCAATTACTGCTAACATTTATGTATATGGATATAAAGGGGGAGTTACTGGAACAGAAGGGTTATTTGCTATAGCCCAAACTAAGGGAGGATACGTTGCCCACAATACCACAAGAGGAAATACCAAGCTGTCTGTGTGTTTTGACACTTGTAAAGCTATAAGGATAGGACAAGGACATGATAATAGACAAGGAATGAAGTGTGGTAACTTTGAGTGGGAAAAAGATTATATGAGGGAAGAAAAATATTTATTCCAAGTTGCTATGCCCGCTGCGAATACAGGCCAGGTGGCTTTTGCTCCAAGTCACACTTATTGGTATACCACTAAGACCCCTTGGGAATGGAGGAAAGGACCCCAGGGGTTCAACTTGTCTATGGCCTCAGTATCAACAGATTGTAAGCCAGAACAGTGTACACGGATTTGCTTACAAATCAAGGCATCTGAAACCCCCTCTACTAATTTTTATTATTTTGGTATTGGTATAAATGGAAGAGGAAGAGATCCATATGGGTATATTATAGTAAAAGTGAGTTCAACAAAGTTAACTTCAGAGCCAGTAAAAGTATATTGGGAATATCAGGAAGAGATTGCAAAATTTAATAGTCTCCCTGTTCCACCAAAGGCTAAAAATATGTTTATCGCTTTAGCCCAAGAGGTTGCTCAGAAGTTAATGCTGAAAAATTGCTTCGTGTGTGGGGGAACCAATATGGGAGATGAATGGCCATGGCATGCTAGAGAAGCTAATTATACTGAAATTGAGAAATGGAAAGGAAATTTCACTTACCAGAACACCTATAATGAAACTTGGAGGATGTCCATTAACCTGGTGGGCAATATATGTTACTCGAGGAGTAACCATAGTGGGAGAACTAAACCTATGGGGTTCATGCGCTGTTTGAATACCTGGGAAAACAATACTTGGATATCACAAACGAATCAAAGTGTCCCTAACAACTCTTTATCTTTAATTCCCGAGCTTGCCTTCCTAAAAGATCCTGAAAACGATACCCTCCTCTGGACCACTCCTGATGGGTTATATTGGATCTGCGGAGCATTTGCATATAATATTCTCCCTGCTGGATGGTTTGGGTCTTGTATTCTGGGTGCTATACAACCCTCTTTCTTCCTCTTGCCATTACAAAGAAGACAATTATTGGGTGTCCCTGCCTATGAACATGTGGGAAACTTGGTAAGGCGGTCTGTGGCTAAAGTGGGAGAAGGGTTAAAAATTGGGAATTGGAAAGATGATGAATGGCCACCCGAACGAATAATTGCTTATTATGATCCAGCTACTTGGGCCCAAGATGGAAGTTGGGGGTATAGGACCCCAATTTATATGTTAAACAGAATTATCCGATTACAAGCAGTAGTAGAAATTATAACCAATAGAACAGCTGAGGCTTTAACTAAGTTGGCTAAAGAAAGTGTTTTGTCCAGAACATATATTATGCAAAACCGCTTGGCTTTAGATTATTTGTTGGCTAAGGAAGGAGGTGTCTGTGGAAAATTTAATTTAACAAATTGCTGTATACAAATTGACGATTCAGGCATGGTAATTAACCAGATAACGAAAGACATGGTTAGAATTGCACATGTACCTGTACAAACTTGGACAGGGATATTGGATGATGAAGGGTTCTTGGGAGGAATATTCAGAAATTGGAAACAGGCTCTGTTTATGGTATGTATTATATTCATTGGAATAATGATGTTACCTTGTCTGATTCCAGTAATAAAGAACCTAGTAAACAGTTCAGTCCACGGTATATTACAAGCCCAACAAAATGCTAAGTCCATAATGGTATTAAAAGAAATTGAGGACCAAATCCAGTTGTTGGAAAATATGAATACTTCACATCCAATGAAAACTACCAAAGAAGAAACTAGTAGGTTAAATGAAATAAAAGAAAATATTAAACTAGTGACCAAATAAGAAATGGGGGAATTGAATGGGAAGGTTCTAGAAAAGTTTAAAATTTTCTATTCAGCAACAGGCTCACTGAGCATGTGCAAGAAAACCTGAGTACGTGCCTGGAACTAAGTAAAGAATGTCCACATGTAGAGAACAAAAGAATACCCATATATGGTAAGGTAGGAGGTAAGGTAGGATAATTGTGTCGTCTGATAGGTTTGTGACCTGCCACGTCAGGAATAGCTGACGTAGGTATAGGAGGAGATAGGGAGGGGTATAACTGCTGTTAGCTTCTGTAGGAGGTGTGGCTTTTCCCTGCAACTCTTGTGAGTGCATGGTTAAAGTTTCACCACGCTTTGCAAACCGTTTTCTTTTACTAAACTCAACTTTGATAATAAAAGAAACTTTATTCTGCTACTCCGAACCTCGTCTCTGAATTTCTTTCAAGGAATTCTACAAACATATACATTTCCCTTTAAACAAAGACACTTGTTATGTCAATGCCTTATTTTCATGGAATGAATATTTGATGCTGATCTCAGCTCTACAGAATGATGCAATTTCTAATCCAATTTCCAGCTCTAATGGAAAATTTTTAAACTTAGGATTTACACTACTAATTATTTTATTGTGTTCTGAATTCTACAATATAGAGTGTAAAAATAGTGATACTAGTATATAACAAAGCTTTCTGATGATGACTGCTGGTATAGTAGGAGGACTTTTTCTGAGGACATCCCACACCCAAGAAAAGAAATTTAATTAAATGAAGTTAAATTAAATAAAGCTCTTTTTTACTGATATCCCATCAGCTCTTCAAAGGTTTTCCCCTCTCCTCTCTTTTAATAAGCTTGTAATTCTGGAGTTGTTCAAGTAGTTTATTTTTCTTTACTGATTTTATAACCGTTTTATCTTGATTTGATTTAGAGTTATGGTTGTGTTAGCTATATGATCTTATTGATACATATTACACCTTGTTTGAATTATGATTATTCTAATCTATTCTGTTCTGAGAGCAGAACCAAAGTCTTTAATAGAGAAATACCCTTGACAGTCTGGGAAATTACTAAAAGTACTGTGAAGTCTATAATTCTAGCCAATTTAATGTGACCTAACACAACTAAATGAGAATTGTTTTTTCTTTAATTTCTGAAACTTAAAGTTCTTCAACACATTTTTAACAGTTAGAAACATTATGACAAATTAACATAGCCAACTGCAATTAATTTATAGCATCTAAAATATTTGCCCAGAACAGTCTTCACAAAACGTTATAATGTAAATTCTAATTCATGTCTTAAACTGTGAATATAGTCTACTAATTTAATATATAAAACAGAATATATTTTTTCAGCCAAGTATTTTGTAAATTGATTGGTTAATTAGGTATTTGAAATATACATTTAGTGCTAATGTATTGTTATGGTAATGACATTTACTACCATATGTACTAAAGTAATAGGCACATTTAAATGCAACTACTGGTCATGCAAATCAGTCTAGCAGAAGATACAAATTATAAATCAACAGTGCATGGAAATGATTTGATATAGCCCTGGAGAATAAACTTTTATTTTTAAAATTATTTAAATAAAAAATCCCCACATTGTTATATTTTCCAAGCAAAACATTTAGAAGAAACTAATTTTTAGTTTCTTGTTACTTAGAGGTATTTCCTATTTGGGTTGTATTTTCAATTATTTGACTGCCCAGCCTTTAATAATAAACAAGTACTGCCTGATGTTGCATAGTCACTAACCATATGAATTGCTGTTTTTACTTAATCAGCAGTGAGTAATGAATTAAAATGCAGCTCAGATTGTGATTTAGAAATCCCAATACATTTCTCAGCTGAAGGCCTTTTTATTCTTTCGAACACAATAGAATATTGGAAAGGAATTATGTAATGGAATGTGGGACTCTATCTGCAGGATAATGCTCCAAGAACAAAATGGTATCAGATTTGGTATTACAGGAGAATCTGGTAAAAGATTGGCCTTGAAAATGGGCTAGATCCATTTTCTTCAGTTTTCCCAAAGGCTGGGAAAGGCAAGTGTGCTAAGATTTTAGATATTGTAGTTGCTTTATTCTGCATTCTCCTGGTCTCGTGATCTGAAACAGAGCTTTCATTAGGGGGTTGGAAATAATTCCCAAAATTGTGTTCTTCATGCTTTCCCTACATTGCTTAAAATCCCAAAACTTTACTCATGATAGTTAAATAAATAAATAAATCATTCCCATTTGAGCATTGCAAATGTTTTTCAGCTCCTTTCTTTTGAAAAAAACAGAAATCTTTTCCCCAGAGCTGTGGGTGTTAGGCAAGATATTGTAAAATGTACCAAGCATGTAGCAGTTTTTGTAAGTCACCTTTTTGACAGATGCATAATGGCTTCCCATCAACCTGGGCCAAACAAGTGGCATTGTTTCTGCATGGATTGTAGGGAGCATCACATGGATTATGGTGATACTGGCATTTTTTCCCAATATAAAATGGAGGGCAAGCACAGAGGAATTGACCAGGGACAATGGACTCATAGCAAGTTGCTCCATTCAAGCATGGTGCAGATTCACATTCAGTTATATCTTCATTGCACTGTTGTCCTGTCCAGCCTGCTGTGCATACACATCTGAAAGAAAAGCAGAAGATAATGTAACCAAGTAAAAGCACTCGAATTGGCATTGGTTTTCTATATCTTTCCTTTATTTTGATTATGTTTTTATGAGCACTGATTTTAAACTGCCTAAAAAAGTTTCTACCAACAGCTAAAAATAAAACCTTGCTGGGTGGGACAAAGGAATCTATACCTAAGAAAGTAAAACAAGGGGGAAATGAGCTTTTAAATGCAAGAACATTGTAGTGAAAAAGAGCACACAAAGCTGTTTTATCAAATTCATCATTAATTGGTGATCAAAGTTGCACATTTTATATGTTGTGAATACTAATATGTTACATATGCAACTAAATTATTTACAGATTGTCCTTCTGAATTACAGAACTCAAGGTGACTTACAAATGCAATTTAAAACAGGATAAAATCAACAATAAGATGAAGCTGCACCTTGACAAATGAAATAACATTGCCTACAAACAAATATGTAGACCAGTGTTTCTCAGTGTTCTTGACAACTTTTAGATGTGTGGACTTCAAAACTCAGAATTGCCCAGCCACACATGCTGGCTGGGGAATTCTGGGAGTTGAGGTCCCCACATTTGCAAATTGCCAAGGCTGAAAAACATAGACTTAAACAATGCCATAGAGGGATTTAAACATGCATTGCCATAAAAGGCTTGAGGAAATAGAAGTACTTAACAGGGAGTTAAAATATGGTAATAGGCCATGTAAATGCAAAAAATGAAGGAAGATCCTTACCAAAGGAACATACCATGATTGGCCTCCAAAAGGTAATACAAATTACTGATGTCCAGATACATGAGGAAAAGTTGCAATCCCCTGTCTGCCCTACTGAGAATGGTTTTAATAGTTTGATCAGCACTCTGAACTGATTCTAGAAACAAAATGGGAGCCACTAAAAAAATCTTAAAGTCACTGTAAAAAAAAAAAAATCTTAGCTGTTAGATTCTGGGTCAAAACGTCAAAGTCTGCTCCAAAGGCAAATTGTGACTGAGTAAGATTTACACATGGAACAAAGCCTCTGAATTAAGTTCTTTGCAAGAATAAGTCTTCCATGGACTGTTAATTTTTAAATGGAACATTCTGAAAATGGCTCCAACCTTTGATTCCCAGTCACCTTTTCCCATAAACCGAGGCACCTGACCCTTGGTATATCCAGGATGCTAGAACATAGCTAAGATTCATTTCTGTAAAAATGTCTGTAAAAGGAAATATGGATGAAATTGCATGGCTGGTGGTAATGATGTGACACAAATATGCAGTGCACTGATAACCTTTATTATTTTGGTCTCACAGTGTTCCTCTGACAGCCATGATACATTGGAAATTGACATTTCCAACTTATTTTGAATAAAACTTGACAAATCAACTCTTCCTGCTTCTGCCATATAATTAGAAATCTGTAACTGTTCCAAATGCCCCCCCCCCCTTAAAAAAAAGGAGAGAAAAATGAACCTAAAGACCAGGGCATGTTTAAGCACTCCCAAATCTTAGAAAATAAAATAAATTCCCCTCAAAGCTTTCTGTGTTCAGAAAGAAGTGTTAGAGAAAGGATGCATAATAATATAATAGAACATAGATGTATTTCCTTTCTAAATAAATTACATAGTGTTATATGGTTCTTTTAAACTTTATGTCATGGTTCCAATAGATGAGACCAATAAAAAGAACTCCAAGGCAAGAGGTTTCCTTAAAGAACATATTTATTGGCTACAAAGTATCAGCAGGATCAAAAGTGAAACCAAGACTGAAGTTCCCTCGCAAAGGTTACAATGTTGCAAAGTTGAACTTCCCACCCCAGCACCATGTCATAAATCATATTCCCCAACTCAGCCCGCCAAAACTCAGGCAGCAATGACCTTGGTTCCCACAAGACAATTTATTGTTTTGTCTAACCTTAAAAGCACACATTCCCCCCTCCCATACTGTGGCAACCAAAAACAAAGTAGAAATGGCTTCAGCATTGACCCTTCAGTTCTTTAGATTTGAAATAACAATGAGGACATGCATTATTTGCTACCCAAATGTTGAATTTAATTTAGTTCTGTATATCACTTGATGCTCTCTGAGCTTGCTTACTTGCAGACATTCCATTAGATGACTATGAAACATCATCAATGCTCATCAAATCACTGATGATGTTATCTTGTTAGGTAATGAAATATCTGCAAGCAAGTAAGCAAACTCAGAGAGCACCGAGGACTCCATAGTTCAACCTGAGCCACATATATTCTTTTATTAGTTAATTTAGTTCAGAAGAAAACCAATTCCATCTTTTTCTCTCAATCTCACTGGTATTGGAATTAAATTTTGTCCTTTATTCCTACAGCTAGGTAACATCAGCATGGACAGTCAATGCAGATCAAACCTGATTCTGTTTGAATTTCCAGATTCAAAGAGGATCTAATTGGATTTGAGATAATGATTAGGGTTTCAAGGGTAAACTGATATAAGCCACTGCAAGAGCTGAGATTCAATGAAGAATCTGCAGCTGAATATTTTTTAAAGAACAGGGTAGAGTTAGGATAACATGAAATGAGCAGGGTGACTGATTCTTTAGAGAAATTAACCTGGCCAAATTTCAGCTAGATAACTTTTGGGTTTATCTTACTCAGAATGAAACCAAAAGTAATTAAACAAGCCCCCCCCCAAAGTTCCTTATCAAAAACATTTTTACTATTTCATTTGTTATCCTGGGATCCCAGATATGAAGAACTATCTTGTGAGGCAGCATGCTTTATTGCCATAATTATTTTTTTAAATAGAAATTAACAGCTGATTAGCATGCTTGGCCTGTCCTGAGAAAAATCCACACACTGGTTTTCAGGGGCTGCCAGGCTAGGCAGTGAATATTGACAAATTAACTATCCACTCCTTACCAAGAGATTCACTTAAATCTGACTCACTTCTGCAGAATTAAAAATAAAATTTCACCCAGAATTAAAAATAAGATTTCATTCCAGTCCCTATAGAGTAGACTGATCAATCTTCAGAGGACCAGCACAGAAGTATACAACTAAATTTCATTACCTCCAAGAGACAGCAGAGTTTAGGATTCTGCCTGGCCATGTTTAAAAAACTAACAGCTGAGAGAGCAGAGCCAAAAGCAATATTAGATTTGGCATGCCAAAATGAAGCTGGTAGGCATTGAGTTTGATAATGTGATAAAACACATTTGTTGGCTACAGATACCAATCTTTAAGGAGGTTCTCAAATCACTCAAGCTTCCCCCTTGAGCTTTCTCCAAAAATGAAAGTGAGATTATAACATTGTACACTTTGGGAAACAAGCAGCCAAAAACTATGGCATCTGCAAAACACATTGCAAGGGGACGAAGTGTTTTGCAGCCTGTTGATTGGGTTTAGTGCTTTGAATCGGGTCACTCTTCATTCATGAAAAAATGGTCATTAGAAAGAATACTTTCTTTCTAATGCTAAATGGATAGGTGGGTAAAAATGCCAAATCCACCCATTTGCAGATACAAAGTAGATATGAAAAAGATGTAAAAATGTATGGATTTTACAAGGATCAAAATGTGTTTGATAAGATTTTGTTAACCTCGGATGAGAAATTAATTAAGAAAATGTATAATTTTTTGTTAATTTTAGATATGGAAAGTGAACAAGTGAAAGAAACAATGATAAGATGGGCAAAAAAATTTGGTTATGATATAGAATTAGAAAAATGGCAAATGTTATGGGAGAGAAACTATAAATTAACAATGTCAACTTCATACAAAGAAAATCTGTATAAAATGTTTTATAGATGGCACCTTCCACCAGCAAGATTAGCAAAAATGTTTAAAAATATGTCAGATAGATGTTGGAAATGTAAACATAACATAGGCACGTATTATCATATTTGGTGGACATGTGGGAAGGCAAAGGCCTATTGGAAAAGCATACATATGTGGTTAGAAAAAATATTGGGCGAACAAGTGGATTTTAAACTTGAACTTTTTTTACTAGGCATTATGTCTGAAAAGATTAATGAGCAGAAATTATATTTAATTCTACATATTACCACAGCAGTAAGAATAATTTTTGCACAGTACTGGAAGAATGAAGGATTACCATCAGAAGAAGAAATAATCATGAAAATATTGGAATGTGCAGAGATGGACAGACTAACTATGAGGCTGAAAGACAAAGAAGATACGGACTATTATAAAATTTGGAATTTATTTTATTCTTGGTTAGAGAAAAGAATGAAGGATTAGGAAGTGAACATGTATTAGCTTACCAAATACCAGACAACTTGTTGATCGGAAAAATTAACATATGTTGATGGGAAAAAAATTAATAAAAAAGATTATTAAAAAAAAAGCCAAATCCAATCTAAACATCTGGCTGTTTGTGCAATGAATCATAATGAAATGTAGACTCTCCACATAAAATGACCTGTAAGGTTCAAACCTATGCTTCAATGTGATAATGAATCATTCGATTTATCTAAATTTAAGACACAGATTAATCAAAGCTGACACCTGTTTCAAAGCAGTATTGTCAAATTGTCAAAGTAGTACTGTCAAATTTTTAGACTTGGGCCAGGGGGCTATGAGTTAATCTTCAAATGTGGGAGATTTCATATGAGACAGGCAAATCATGAAATAATGTTTATGGCTTTATTATTCAAAACAAAGATTCTGAGCTAGGGCCAGACACAGTGTTACTGGTAGCTTCCGAATGAGCATGTTAGACAGACAGTTACATCATTCAGGTTTACTTTTCAGCATTCTCCATATCTGAAAATGAACCTGCAGTGTTATATGTTGTCAGAAGTTATCAAGTCTGCAAAGTGCCTTAAAAGCCTTTGAAGTGTTTGAAGTCCTCTAATTTGACAATACTGCTTTGAAACAGGTGTCAGCTTTGATTAATCTGTGTCTTAAATTTAGATAAATCAATCGATTCATTATCATATTGAAGCATAGGTTTGAACCTTACAGAAAATTTTTGTGGAGAGTCTACATTTCATTATGATTCATTGCACAGACA